GAGAAACTTTAAGAGCCTGTGAAAAAATACTTATGACTGGAAAAAGGCATATATATTTGCTCTAGAGTATGGAAAAGAAAACTGGAAAATGGAAATTAATAAATGTTTAGTTTTATAATGGTACACTTTGCCAATTTCAGCCATAGTTAAATTTAGTAGTCATTCGGATATTAGTGATTTGTAGAGCAAATTTTAGGTTAGATTTCCTTTTGCTGATAAATCATAGCCAACCATAACTTAATAAGTTGCTGATAGCCAGATATTTTCAAAAACAAATTACAAAAATCCTTTCAAGTGTTTATAGCAAAAATTATTCTTAATGTGGGCTGTGGGTACATATGAATATTTTGAGGTGAGAATCTCAAAAAAGAAGATTTCCTAGAGCTACTCATGTTATAAAACATCCCTGTTTGTGGATGGCTGATTTCACGCACTTTAAAAAACATATTTGTTGGCTTAACTGAATTCCCACTTTACGCTTATTGTTTAGTCTTCTATGCCCTAATATTCATTCTTCATCACTTAATTAAGGGTTTCTGCTTTTTATGAGGGTGCTTAATCTATAAACAAACATCTTCTCAGACTGGCTCCCTGATATCAAATGGAAAACTTAGAGATATGGAAATGTTTGGGGAAATGCAAACGCATGTTTAGCTGTTAAATGTTCAAGACCATTCAGTGAGCTTTGATTAAAGTTAAACTGAGTCACTAAGCTAGAATTTGCCAATTATTTTGCCCAGTAAAATGCAGACATTTTACAAAGCTTTTCTTTTCACTGAGTTTACTGCGTTTCTATGAAAAGCTCTGCCATTTCTGCTCACCCTGGATGAAGAAGTGAGAAAAGAGACCTGAACTCTGCCTAAGAATTGACTGGCTTTGCGAGGGTGGGCTGTAACGTGGGTGCTGCTGTGGTACTTAGCCAGCAGCTGATGTGGTGGACCCGCCATCCTGAGTCCCTTGACTTAAATACCACCTCTCCTGTGAGACCTTCCTTGTATCCCCATACCTGGATTAGGTGCTGTTCCTACATGATACCATGGAACTTTCTAGTCCACCATCGTAGCACATTGTCGTTTTCTTTCCATTGTTGACTTTTCTCAAAACTGTAAACTTCTCAGAGAGATATTGTCTTGTTCATCATCGTTTACCCAAGACCTAGCAGAATACTGAGCACCTAGCTCTGCAAATATTTTTTAATAGTGTGACAAATGCGAGGCTTATGATAAAAATCTTTCAAAGGTAAATTTATTAGTGCGATTCAAAAGTTAAAAAAATAAAACTGTGTGATGAAAAATGTGAACACCTTTTATTTTCTAGGGTTAGGAAGAAATTTTGGAAAGAAAATGATTTTGATTGTGTTTCTAAAATGGTATTAAGTCTAACATACTTTTAGTTATAACAACGTGTAACAAATAAATTTTAATTTGGGATGATGTAAACAGGTAAGTCACAGTAGCCTTAAGAATTCCTTTATTCTTGAACTGTTATATCTAAAAATGCTCAGTAGTTCATGACAGTCCATGAAAGAAAGTGCCAGAGTAAAATGCACCAGAGTGGACCCTGTTGGTGCCCTGATCAGATCCTCTTCACCTGGCAGGTGTAGTCCATTCCCCAGCTGCTGTGGGTGTTGACTGCTAACAACTCACAATTGTGTCTTCTACAGAGAATTGCCCTTGGAAATGCCACCTTGGCCCCAGTCAATGACCAACTGATATGGGTGTATAAAACCTTACCATGGGTCGACTGTGAGATGTAATTCACACTCCAGAGTTCTTCATGGGATCAGGCTGAGGTCAAACTTCAGCTAAATCCAGTTCTCCACTTAACCTCTTCCTCTGCCCTCTCCTGCCTCCTTCACTACCTTACAGGTTCCTCCCAAGAATACTCTGTCTGTAAATCAAATGCACAAGAATCCAGGTCTGCTTCTAGGAAACCATCCTCAAGATATTCACTGAAATGAAATTTCAGCTTCTGAGGGTAGATGACCCCTGATGCCTTTCCTCCATGCTAGTGGAGGGTTCAAGAGCAAGGAGGGATGACAGTGGCCTTGCCCCCTTGCCTTGTACGTTTCCAGACTAATTATACCTGCAATTAATATTTATTTATCCAACATGATAATCAGAGCACTTCTTCTAAGGGCCTCAGTTGTATTCAAATTAAACATTTTATTAGTACCTAGTTTGTGCCTACAATGTGCTAGGATGGTGTTAGGAATGTAACAATGAAGAAAACAATTTCTGCCTTCCCAAAAAAACAAACCTCAGCTTCTGAAGATGCTTTTTAGGTAGGAGAACATAGAGTGAACATCTTATCTAGTCTCCTCTTTTGAGTTGATCACACTAAAGCACTAACCCCTCCACCAAATTAAGCTCATATGTAAGAACAACATTTCGTTGTCTTCCCTTCCAGACAACATACACGTAGTGTCTATAAATCAAGTGAATTCAAAACTGTTCACAAGAGTATCCTCATAGTGCCGCCATGGAGGAGAGCACTGACAGATCATTGCTTTTAAAGTCCTTCCACATGATTGTGAAAGGGTGGTAAATGTGTTATTTCCTACAAATCTTCTTTGGAATAATGCAGTTTTCTTTTAAGAAAATATGCCATGGCTTGCCTCCTTCTGTGAATAAAATTGTCCCCACTTGTTTTTGAGACTTTTTTTCCTCTGGACACAACCTCGGAAAAGAGTCCGAGAAGACTTCCCATAGCAATGCTACAGTTTTGATTGCTGGGCAGTTGTGTTGGCTGTGTGTCATGTGTGGGCTTACACAAGGGTGCGGGTTTGCTTCCTGGCCAGTGCTGGAAGAGTTTTAAGGCAGGAAGCAAAACATGTCCTTTTAAAATATCTTCTTAAATTATGGAATATGTGCCCAGAGTCCATTTTTTTCTTCTGAGATCTTCATCTGGGAAATAAGAATAGATTAAGAAAAATTCCTTTTTTTTTAAATAAGATTTCCTAACCTCTCTTGGTCTAAGTTTTCTCTCTTATAATATGAGAGAGTTGGACTGGATGAGTTCTAAGGTCCTGTTCATCTCTCATATATCCTTATTTTTTATGCCCTTCTTCCTGAACATGCTATATTCAAACTCCATGTAAAATAATTTCTTTCAGTTTAGTTAGCAGGTCCAAGGAAGAATGTGTGTGTGTGTGTGTGTGTGTGTGTGTGTGAGAGAGAGAGAGAGAGAGAGAGAGTAACTTAATGTGTATCAGGGCGCATCGCTGCAACTTTTGGACTTAATAATATTTTTAACTGTATAACTGTAGTGAAAGAACAGAAGCAGTAGTGAAAAAAAAACTAGCTTGCATAGTATTATAGGCTAACTGCTATAACAAACAACCCTAAAATCTCTGGTTTAATGCAATAAAAGAATTCAAATACAATAAAATTTTTTTTAAAAAGTCTATTGCTTGTTCACAATCCAATGTTGTCAATAATGATAGGTAGAGGAATGGGAAAGTCCAGCCTCTGTTCCATATAGTGGTTTAGGAACTCAGGGTCTTTCTGTCTGGAGACACTTTCATCTTCAACACATGGCCTCTAAAGTTGCTACAGAAGGGGAAAAGAAAGAGGAGGATTATCCATGGGAAATTTTTATGAGCCATAATTGGAACTGGCCCATTTCTATTGGCCAGAACTCAGCCCTGTGGTTCCAACATAATTGCTGGAACAGGAGACTGAGAAATGTAGCCTCGCAATGTGCCCAGGCAGAAAAGGAAAACCACGGTTATTGGTGAGCTCTAGGTCCTTTGGCCTTATCTGGTCTTAAGATTTGCTAGTACTCGAGCTTAAGAGCATGATGAAAGGGCCTTACCGACCAATGCTTTTCCTACGTACTTATCCTACCCCCTTTTCATGCCATCTCTTGTATTCTCTCTCCTAACACACACAACATTCCTTTCATCTAGCTTCATCTTTACTCTCTGTTTTATTTTACACCATGAGGTAGGGAGAGATAATGTGACTGTGAATGGGGAGCCCAAAAATGATGGATTTTCATAAGCAAGATAAGTGGAAATGACAGCTCACTGGAAAAGTGGCAGGAATTTCAGAAAGGGAGTTAGGAGAGGCAGCCAGGAAGCTGGGAGAGGCTGATGTGGGTTAGTTTGAGATGGGAATGGATTATCCCAATAGGAGACAAATCCCAAGATGAAAAGTCCATATCTCCACATACTAGAAGGTAATGTTTTGAACAAAATTTTATGGGCCTATGATAAAATTTAGATTGAAGATCCTCTTTCATGTTTTTAACAGTATTGGTAAGACCAACACTCGCAATTAAGAACTATAACCATTTAAGAGTAAGTCATTCCAGCTGTTATATTTTTTAACAGTCACATAAAAATAACACACACGTACACACATTCAATAATTTAGGAAGATATTTTTATAAATAACATCATTTGCTTTCTGTCTTAAACACTTCCAGCATGGGGTGGGAAGCAAACATGTACCCATTTGTAAGCCCAGGATGACACACATTTGACAAACCTGCCCAGCAGTCAAAATCATATCATTACAGCAGCAAATCCCCCCATATTCTTCTGCAGGCTGCTCCTGAAGAGTTGCAGAGATTCAGATATTGTAGTATTCCTAATTTGTAATATAGATCCCTGTGATAGGGATTCCCTGCCCAAAACTCTCTTAGGTCATGAAAGACACTAATTCCTCTTTTTGTCTGGTCATTAATTACCAAGAATTGATCTCATTTGTTATGCTTAGTTTAATAAAAACACTTTCTGGAAACAAGTTCCTATTTAAGTTTGTAAGTGGCATTTCTCACACCTAAAATTCTTGCACTGGACAATTTAATAGAGCCAACAGACACAAAAGTCTTGCCAAGAACAATTCCCATGAAGAGTTTAAAAGCAGAGAATCCTTGGAAGTCCAGAGCAAGCGACAGGACTTGACCCCAGAATATTAAATAGGATTAGGTCCACCTATCCCGAAAGCCATATAAAGCAACCGCGTAGTTGACACACTGTTTCTTTTCCCTAGGGCTTTCCTGGAAAGGACGGATCATCTGGCCCTCCAGGACCACCAGGGCCAATTGTAAGTAGTTCCAGAAACTACTGGAATATACTCTGCTTTAGAGCATTTCATTTCTTTTGAGAGATTTCCTTTTGCCAGACCTTTCACCTCAGCAACTACCATCTCTTGGTACAGAGCTTTCCCTAAAACATTCTTTAAAAATAATATATCCATACGGTTTCATCATTTTATCTCTGAGCCACTTTCCCATAAGATCACCTGCATTGATTTAGTTTTTATTAGACACAAGTAAGTCTTGAATTTGAAAGAACTATACTTGACTGATAGTGTGGAGACTTCTCAAAAACAGTCTTCCCTACTTTTTTGGTAGTTGGGAATAGGAATGAGCAATGAATCCTGAACTCTTGATGTTGAGGAGGAGGGAAGCCATCACTGTGTGTGTTTGTGACTCCTTCTTGAGAGTTGGCTTTCTCTGATGAGAATGTGGGAGTACTCACCTTTGCTCCATTTTCTTGCCTCCCTAACAGGGCATTCCTGGAGCCCCTGGAGTCCCAGGGATCACAGGAAGCATGGGACCCCAAGGCGCCTTGGGACCACCTGTGAGTATACAGCAGTAGCCAATCAAAATGGTTGCCCAGCCATCCCTCTAGTTTATTTATGTATTTAAATTTACCAGCATTTCTGTTGGTCCAAAATGTTTATTCAGTATTGGACTCTGTGGGAATCCATAAAAGAAAACAGAGAAGCTCCTAGGTTAAAGATCAAGATCAGTATGTGCATGTGTCATGGCTAAAGACAAATGGTCCTCACAGGGAATAATCAGCTATGCTTCCACTCATATATATTTCCGTTTTTTGTTATTCTGTATTTGGCTAAGTAAACTCAGCGACAGCTTTATAGGGATTGGTAATAATAGCTATGTGTTAATTAGGACTGTCTCCTGGGTAAAAAATACAAGGCTTAAGAAATTCAAGTGAGACTAGGAATAGATTTTTCTTTTCTAAGTTCTACAAGAAAGACAGAATTTCCCATTAAAACACACACTCACACATAAGTGGATAGTGGTATAAATGAAAGCACAATGAATGGAACTCATTACTTCCATTTTTGTACTTCTAATTTCTTAGGTAGGTGTTTAAATGTGATCAATGGGAGGGAGTAGGATGGGGGAGAAACGAATGAGCACATCTGAGCCTGTTTCCTCTTCTGTGAAATGAGGTAGCTGCATTATTTGGCCTCTGAAGCCACATCTGGCATCTTCTGTGACTTGCAAGTTGTTCCTTCTAGGTGTGGGTATTAGTCGGTATTTTGATTTACCTGTGATGTACTACATCTATATCTATAAACTGAAGCAACTGAGATGTGTAAATGTATATACTACTGCAACCATGCTAAGAATGTGTAGAACAGTGAAATCTGAAGGGTGAGAGAATAGGCTAATGAGTTAGATTTCCATTTCTGCTATAACAAATTACTACTATCTCAGTTGCTCAACATGACAGAAAATTGTTACCTTACAGTTCTGTAGGTCAGAAGTCTGACACTGGTCTCACTGGGTTAAAATCAAGGTGTTGGCATGTCCTCTCTGGACGTTGTAAGGGAGAATCTATTTCCTTGCCCTTTCTAGCTTCTAAAGGCTGCCCACATTCCTTGGCTCATGGCCCACTTCCATGTTCAAAGCCAGCAATGTTGCATCCCTTTGACCGTTCTTCCATAGTCACATCTCCCTCTGAACATAGCCAAGAAAGGTTCTTTGCTTTTAAGGACCTATGTGATTACATTGGGCCACCCAGATAATCCTAGAGAATCTCCCTAGATAACCTCAAGATCCTTAAGAAAGTCACATTTGCAAAGTCCCTTTTACCGCATACGGTAACATATACATGGTTTCCAGGGATTAGGGTATGAACACTTTGAGGACCCTTTTTCTGCCTATCAAGTGAGCAAGACATAACAGAAACATTGATTCTCGTTTGGAAAGACACCTCTTTCCTTCTAGCTACCCAGATAGCCCTGTTACTCTTTATTCTTGAAACTCATTTCAATAAAGTTATTTCATCCTCAGAGTCCTTTTCTAGGCTATGATTCGCATGATACAAATGCAGGTACAAAAATACATGCAAAGGGTGAACATAAAAAAAGTCCTCCAGATTTTAGCAAACACATCCTAATTTGCACACCCAAATAAGCACTTTCCTTAGAAGTCACTTTACAAAGCTGTATACTTATTCCAACTGCATTATTATTGTTCAAAACACTTTTAGATCTCTTCTTTTCAAATTCTGCCAGTGATGGGTCACAGAAGAAAATTCGATTGCTGTATCTTCACACATCTCTTTTTTATCAAGAATAATGTTATGAAGTATGGTCACACACCAGGAAACGTACATTGACACCCACATACGTGAACACATGCAAGCACATTCCCCCACCCCGCCACACACACACACAATCCAGTCTCCACCATCCTTTCACTGCAAACTTATCTGCCTTTGATTCTAGGCTATTCCTCATCAGAAAACAGATTTAAAAACATTTTCTTTGCTACAAGGGGTTCTGGTTAAAGATGTGTCAGAGACAGAATATACTTAATCTGTTTCTCAGAAAGTCATGAGAGATTTTAGAACATCAAAAGCTTTGAGGTTTCCTGAAGTGAAACAAGAAAAAACAAGAAAATGGTTTCATTTGGTTAGACAATAGATGAATGTATTTGTGCATGAGGTGATCTGCTTGTTCTTTGTGCTCTGACTGTGCTCTTACTCCTAGAACTAGTTCCCTTTAACCCAAACTGGGTTGATCCTGATCCAAGAGGGATGGGATGGAAAAGAAGGCTCTGGTGGCCTTGGGAGAGGAAAGTGGGGTGTGTGAGGGTAGAGCGAGGCATGGAATATATTAGGTAAGTAGATCCCCACCTTATCCACCTGGCCTTTTGTAGCTCTGGAATAGACTCTAAATATGGGACATACAGAAATACCAATAAACCTTTTCCCAGAAATAAAACACTTGTTAATAATGTTATCTTTGATTGTCATAAATCAACAGAAATGGACCCTTGATGGTAGCATTTTTATCGGAGATAGAAACCATTTGGTCTACAGGCACTGGATGGGGATGCCGGAGTAGGCTTTGGGTATCCTGTCAGAAGCCAGCTGTTCTCTGAACTGTCCAGCCCAGACTTTTCCCCCTGCTTTGGGAGGTGAGCAGCCAGATGTCTGCTGGCTGCCAGACTGGCGTGACTAGTAAAGCAGTCTTGCTGTCACGGTGTTGAAGCCTTGATTGATTTCCCATGGATGTCTGTCTAGGAAGGCAGGAGGGAAAGAGACCAAGAAAGACAGACTGCCCCACTGGAAATAGCAACATGTTTCCTAAAGTCTGTGCCAGGAACGCTTGCTTTCATGCACTCTGCCTTCAGCTGCCGACTTCCCGGGGGGGAATGTACATTGCCGCTGCTGCGGTCATAATTCCTACCTGAGGCTTAAGCATACGCTAAAATACAGTGCCTCCCTGCAGGGGAGCAGAGAGAGATGAAGCCCGTGGAAGAAGGGGCCATGCGCTTAGCTTGAAAGCAATGTAGGTAGATAGGTCCAGGGCTACATCATTTAAAGAACACTGCATTAGAAGTCAGCATACCTGGGTTCTAGATGTGGCCCTGACATGACCTTAACTACCTGTGTGAGCCACGTAACTTAAGCAATTTATCTAGCCTCTCAGGAGGTCAGTTTCCTAATTCATTCATTTAAAAATATTTACTGAGTAGCCACAATATATACAAGATACATAGGGGAGAGGGATTCTGAGGGGTATGAAAGATGACCAAGATATTTTTCCACATTCATGGAAAATCTAGAGAGAGTGATTTTTTTATATAAGTAGGTATAATAAAAGGCAGAAAGTGGGAAATGCCTTAAGGGAAAGACGAGTTAAGTTGCTATGAAAGTTCCATTGAGACAGACAGACAGAGACAGAGAGACAGAGAGGGAGCTGAGGAGCTGTTCTCCTGAAGGAGACAGCATTTCAGTGGGATTTTGAAAGATGGGTGTGATTTCCACCCACAAAGACGGGAAGATAGCATCATTTAGATGGGGATTGTAGTAAAACACGAAGCAAACACAGGGCACCTCCTGTCTTTTGTACATTTGAATATTTTTCAACTCTTTCTCTTGCTTCATTGCCACTGTCACAATTTTATTTCAAGCCCTCTTCATTTCTCACCAAGATTATCACAAGAAGCCCTAATGGGCCCCCTTGCCTCTGCTCTAGCCCTGGTCTGTTCCATTCCCCAGCTGCCAGAAGATCTTTCTAGTATAATTCTGATGTGTCATTCCCTGGCTTGCATCTCCTCACTGGATCCCTGTCACCAGAGGATGGGGCTCAAATATTCAGCCAGGTATAGGTGGCCCTTCCTGATGGGCCCTTACTTTCCTCTCCAACTTGATCTCGCATCATCCCTTTGCTTGGAGTTGAGACACCCAAAATTATTTAAAGCTCCCTCAATATATTCCATACTCTTTCACACTTTTTTGCCTTTGGGGATGCTCTTCATCGGTCTGGGCTGCTTTCTCCTCCTTTCTCCACCTGGTGAGTTCCTGACTATTCTCTCTTTAAAACTGTGCACTTCCTGTGTGAGGCTATCCTCACCTCCTCAGGCTGAGATACTTCATTTGAACTGTTGATATCCATCTCTCCACTAAAATGATCGTTCCTTACGGGCAGAAATTTTATCTTACTCATCTTTTTATTCCTAGATCCCAGCTCAGTATCATAAGGGTACTTCATAAGTATTTGTTGAAAGAAAGAATGAAGGTATGTTTGTGTTCTAGTTAGTCTGATGTTCAGGGGAGTATTAGAAGATTACTCTTATAGATTGGGGGTCAGACCATGACTGAGCTAGGTCTTTTAGAGTGGAGCTAGGATGTTTTGATTTGGGTTAACAGACGTCTTTCATATGTGGGTCTTGGACCATGAGATTATTCCTCTTCGTTTCAGCCTTAAAAGTCTGTGAACCTATGAATGTAGCTACTGTGTTTTCTTTACATTTCAAATGTTCCTGAAATTAAAGGAATATGTGCCGCTTTTTCCTGCCTACATCTACAGAGAATCTGTGTTTTTCCTCAAAGCATACATTGGCGGAGTTATGGCCCTTTACTTGCTCAGGAATTTTTATTTTGTTTTGCTTAACTTTGCAAAAATCAAAGGAAAGATGTCAGAGAAGTTGGAATAAAAAATAACTTCTTGCCGTACAGATATTTCACTAACTGGATCTTTTACTGAGGCTGCCTAGCTGTGTCCTGTCACTACTTAATCACAAGCATCCTGAGGCTGAGTTTGAGGAATTTCAGTCCTGATTAAACACATCCGTCCTTATATACCAGAAGGTGCCACCCGCTGTTGTTGTCATTTACCTTATCACTCAGGTTTGCACTGTAATTTCTTTTTCTAAGTTTCAAGAATTTCAAATAAGCCAATTTAATAAATGACGGCTAGCGATGGAAATGTCAAATAGTATATTGGCTGAAAAGTACAAGTATTCAAGATAAAATTGATTTTAAGAAATGACTCAAGTTGAAACTTAATTCTGAATTACTAGAGTTAGGTTTGGGGGACATATGTTTGCTTTTGTATTATTATTTAATTAGGAAAAATATTATCTTCCCTGGTATGGAAGATATTGGCTAGCGAATTTGTTGAGCAGTGTTCTCTTTTATGGTAGCAGTAGAGTGTACTGGGGAGTATATGGATTCTGGAGCCCGGCTGATTGGCTTCTGGTCTGGGCTTTTCCACTTGCTTATTGTGTGACCTTGGGCAAGTTACTTAACCTCTCAATACATCACTTTCCTTATATGTAAAATGGAAATATTATCTCATAGGGTTGTTATAAAAAATAAATGAGTTTGTCTTATAAGCATCTTAAAAAGATTAAATGAACTAATCTTATAAGGCTGTTTTAAGGGTTAAGTGAGTTAATACACCAAGAACAGAGCTTGGGACATGGTAAAAGCAGCTGAAGTATTAAACTGCTAGTATTTATAAACAGTTTCTTAATATATTAAAAATGTATAATATTTACTTATTTTTGTTTGCTGATTTTTGTTTTTGTTTTGCATCTAATGCTTGAAAAATGGGTTCTATTAGGGATTTATTTATTTATTTATTTTTTTTTTAAAGATTTTATTTATTTTATTTTTTCCCCCCAAAGCCCCAGTGGATAGTTGTGTGTCGTAGCTGCACATCCTTCTAGTTGCTGCATGTGGGA